GCAAGAGATAAAAAGGAAAGGTTACCATCTCTGCAATCTTTCTAATGGAATCTATCTTTTCCAGAAGCTCTGGAAAAGCAAAGCAAAGCCCAGCCCCTGTGAGACACAGAGGCTGGCAGCAAGGGGCAGAGGAAGCATTTTGAGAGACCTAAGCCCAAGATTTGCCCAAGGCCCCAGAATCTTGGCAGAGCAAGGACTGGTTCCCAAGAAGCCTACCTCCCAGCAAGCCATGCCATCTCAAGTTACGGTCCAGCCTGTCCCCTGAAATAAGACCATCATAAATGTTAGCAAGGCTTTGTTTAAAGAAAGAATTCTGGTACTTTACTCATAACCAGAACCATCTGGAAGCAATCTCAGATTCACACGACGGATTTCTCTTCCTCTTTGGCCCTCCCTCTCTCTACAAATCCCATCAGCCCTGAACAGCTGCCAGAAAATCTGGCCTGACGCCAGGGGTGCAGCTACAGTCCTCTGCCACACAAACGTCCTCCTGGGCCCCCAACTTGCTCATCACCCCATGTGGCTGGACACAGAGCAAGACAAACATTGACCTTACATGAGAAAGAGTCACCAGCAGTCAGAGGAGCAGGGACCTGGCACCACAAAGCCAGCTGTGAGAAACTATTGTTTCAACTCAGTAACGTAGATGCTTGCCAGCAAATTACGGCTCACGATGGCTCAGAGGGCTGCGGGGGGAGAGGGGAGCGGGGGCGGGGGACAAAGCTCACGCTGCCAGTGAGTGTGCATTACACAATAGCAGCCCCACACAAAGGGCTGGGAGGAGCCCGGGCTTCACTGAGGGCAAAGCCAGGGGTCTGGCTCCAAGACCAATGACACAGGCACAGAAGGTGAAAGCTGGGCCCCATCAGGGACCGACTCAGTGCTGGGGGTGCTGTGAAGAAAATGCCTTTGTAAATCAAACTCCTGGGCAGACTATCTGGGAAGCAGGGGTCCAGGGAAGAGACCGGTCTCATTATGAAGGGCCTGGTGGCAATAACCTTTTGTCCTCTACGCAATCTGGGCCTGCCAAGCTGCTCCACAGTGTCCAGAAAGCACGAGGGTGGGAGAGAAAGCATCCCCATCAGGAGGAGGCAGACTCATCCTTAATGAAGAGACGAGGCTTCCCAGTGCCGACATACCTTCCCACACTTCCTTCCCGCAGCAGACATACCACAGAACGCTGGCATGAAGCTCCTCTAATGAGAGAAGGCAGTTTTCCTATGCAGAGGCTATCTGGTTTTCTGGGGACCTGCCCCCAAATCACATGCAGACTCCTAGTGACGAGTGTGAAACACCAGGGTTTAATGTGGCCAAAGGTCTGCTGGGCCTCAGTGGGAACAAGCAAAGCTACTGCCTCAGCAGCTCCTGAAATGCTTCATGCTGCCCTCCTGGGCCCTGAAGGACTGTCAAGGAGACACTAATCCTGGTGGAGAATGATACCTGACTTCAGTTCATGTCACAGCTTAAAACCGAAGAATTATGTCTCATCTGCCCTAAAGAACAGTGGGCTCTGTGCATTGTATCAGGACTGAGAGCCGGAAACCTGGGTCCCAGTCTGTATTCTGATGCCTTTGCATTGGCGGAAGCTGAGCACCCCAATAATCCCCCTGCACCTCCATTCGCTCAACTACAAAATGGAAAAAGGAGGGAGTCATTCCCCATGTGGCAGGTCAGCACAGCAGTAAACACCGTTTACACTGATGCTGTCGGGTTCACAGCCCTGCTTCTCCTCTTACGAGCTGTATGACCTTGGGCAACTTAGCCTCAGCACCTCAGTTTCTTTATCTACAAAATGTGTCTAGTTCACAGGATTGTTAAATACAAGGGAACATGTAAAGCTCTCGTCACAGTGCCTGGCCCTGAGCTCTCCCAGTAGCTGTCAGCCAGCCCCAGTGCTACCACGGTTGGTGGGGAGCAAAGGGGAGATAAAAATGTCCACAAATTAGGCACATACTACAAGGATTAATCAGCTTTGCAACAGGTGAGCGTTTTATTTGTTAGGTTTCAGAGAAACAAGTTCTCAGGCCAGGCCTAATTCTGAAGCTATGAAGCACAGAGGCAGTAGGTAAGGACTCATTTGTACCCTTGAGCATGACACATTCCAAATTTTCACCAGTCTACCCTCAATCAATTCCAACAGCTTGGTAGTAATTTAAAGCTTTCATGGGAAAGAAGCTGCATACCCTCATCTCCCTTTCCATAGAGTTAATTTTCCAGCCCTTCTCCTTCTATAGATAACTCAGAAAGGCAACAAATTATGATCCCACATTTTTTAAGTCCTAAAAAATAACTGCTAGGTCTGAGTTTTTTTCCATAGAGGTTAGAAACATTTTAAAAACGAATTACTTTAAGTTGGGAAAGGGAGTTTACACAAGCAGTGGTCTGCATTGGCTTTACACTTTCCAACCCTTTCCAGCCAACATATAAAGAGTTCTCCTTTTCCTTAAGTTCATTTTCAAAACAGAAGCAAAGACAGGTAGGAAATACACAAAAATGTTCATAAATCTCTGCTTATGGTCAAAGTTAGAGCCAATAGCCATGTGGGGAATGATGCGGAAATGAATTAGCAAATCATGGCTGACCGAAGCCATTTCAGTACCGTAGCTCCTCAGTTCTCCAGCACCTTCTGCGGAGTTCCACACGGTAAGCGCAGCCTGCGTACAGGATGCTTATCTGCACAGGACCACGTTAATGCAGTATGTACGTGTGAGTGTGTAAGAAAGAGAGTAACTGGGTGTGTGCAAAGTTGGTGTCATCTAGCCCCCAAACATAAATTATATATATATCATGTAATTTTTAGCCATTTGCTTACCAAGTTTGTTTTGACTACTTAAGATAAAATTTGCCTCTCTGGCATAAAAAACAAAAACCCCATAAAAACAGCTTTGCCCTAAGCTCAGCATGTCACAAATGCAACCTCCTCATTCCTACCTGAGCACTAGGCACCCACAGCATTGACATGCTGTCCCCCCACCTCTGACAGTGCACCCCTTTTCTTCCTTTCACTTGATAAATAACCGCTGCCTGTTCACCACATGTCACAAGGGACAAGGCCCTGGGTGCCCCACTAGGGGGCTTACAGACTCACTGAAGACACATACTTAAATAGGTGATTGGAGTGACTGATGACTTACCCCTTACACCAACCTGTTAGCCTAAATCATCCTTTCTTGTTTATCCCATTTCCTCCTCTGCGTCCTGCTTCCATCCTTGCTGCACGAGACCTCATATATATATTTCCATGATTTACTTTTTTGAAAGCAGGTCCTACTCAGTCTTCTTCAAACTCCTCTAAGAACCACCTCCCTAAATCATTGTTTTCATCACTCACTGTCCTTCTCAGAAGGACACAGAGTAACCTACTGCCTCTCACAGTGAATCTAAACCTCTCTGCCTGGCATTCCTAGTCCTGGACGATGTTCCCTCAATACCAGCTCAGTCTGCTTTCCCACAGACACTCCCTTTCTTTCTGGCCATTTTCCTGCCTCTCAGATCTACTATTTTCACATGTTTACAGTCATGTGGGTGCCTGACCTGGGACGCCTGTGCTGTCATTCCAAATTCTACAGAACCCAGACCAAACCCCACCACACTTTTCAAACTATAGTAGCCCTCACCTTAAACTTTCCTGTAAGGACTGCTGATTTCAATGATGGAAGAAAAAATGCATTTACAGAAAAAACCCAGTTTGGCTAGGGTAATGACTGGGGCACCAGAACTCTAGAGCTCAGAGCTGTAAATACAGAGAACCTTGTCCAATAAATCCATTCCTGTCTTAGGACAGGGGTACATATGTCAGGCTTTGTGGGTCATAGCATAGGTCTTGCTGCAGCTCCTCAACTGCCCTGTTGTAATGTGAAGTTACCAAAGGTCAAATGTAGATAAATGAGTATGGCTGTATTAAAAAAATTATTTATAGAAAGGGGCCATGGGTGGAATTGGGCTTTTGGGCCTCAGTTTGCTGGCCCTGTTTTAGAAGAAGATTGGATACTCCTCTTTAAGATAGCAAAGGACAACTGGAAGTGCCTTAGGCCAGCCCCTTATCTTCCTTTAAGACAGTATGTACCCCAGAAGCAGATTCCCAGCTGAGAAGTCATTACCATGGAAATTTGGGCTGTGACCATCTGCTACAGCTATTTTAGTCAACAAAGAAGAGATAATAGAATCTACTTCTTTGTCTGTGTTAGACATAAGGTGAGGTAAGAGTCCACTGTCTCATTCTCCTGCTGTCCTCTAGACTAGCAGGGGACTCACTGGTCCATATTGGAGAACCTAAGGGCAAACCTTTACCCATACTGCTAAGTGCCAGGTACTGCTCCATCATTTAATCCTTATGTCAATCCTATGATGCGTAAGTACTTTATCACATTTACTTTTCAGATGGAAGAAACAGATGAAGTCTTAGCCAATGTGAGCCACTGACCCACCAGAGAAACAGTCTTGGACCTTATATATAGGTGTGTCTGGAGAATAAGATACAATTTCCCCTTGTAAGATTTCTAATTTTGATTTGAAATGTTATAAAATAATGAAGATCACTCATTACCTCTAGTCCTTACAACCCTTCAAAGAGTATGTTTTCATTTATCCACAGAAAATTGGGCTCACAGGGGTTAAGTGGTCTGTCCAACTTTGCTTATTTAGAAAGGTCAGAGTCATGATTCAAATCCAAGCCATTTGGCCCATTCCTTTGAGTCTCTGACCTAAAAAAACAACAAGTTTAATGTGTTTTAAAAGCCCCCAAATGCTCACTCTATGTGAAGTGAAGAATTATGTCAGCTTCAGGGGGGTCTGGTGTCCTCAGGAAGGATCTTAGAGAAGCAGAGAGGCAAGCCAACAAACACCACGATGTGAACACTTGGTACCCAGGTGAAAACATGAGAAGTGGGCATGGCCCCCTTTCCTCCCCACAAACCCAGCTCTCGAGCCACACTGCCTGACCTAAACTGCATAAGTGGCTTTTGATGGCAGTGCTGAGGCAGAGGGAGGCATGTTCTTACCAGCCTGTCATATTAAAGTCCCTGTAGAGCATCTTCTTTCCAAGTTCCTTTCTCTGTACTCTCCTTGGAAACTCCAAATGTGTGAACTCATTTCCCAGCAAGTGAGGCTGCATGAATGCCTAACAGCAAGGGGGAAAAAAACCACACACGTATATTTAGAAGAAAAAATAAGGCCCAAAGGTGTTTCACAAATCAAAACAGTCCACATTTCACAAACAAGAAAATCATTCTTGTATTTTAAGGGAAATAAATAGATTTAAGAATCTAAATACAAACAGTATTAGCAAATAAAAATCATCAACTTAATTTATAAAGGCATGTACCTTTTTCATTTGATATTAGTTAACTGTAATTGAAGATATATATCACTAAAGTCATAAGGAAAAGAGACCGAATTGCTCCAAAAGCTCACTGTGTAATTCAAACTCAAGATGGTTTCATTTCCCTGAATGCCGTGTTGATGAAGCCAGAAAGTTGCCCTGACTCCTCCTTGGCTTTCTCCGCTCAACTCTGGCTCATAATCCTAGCGATCACGGTCCTGCCTTGGAAACCTGCATGTGAGTCTCCATACCAACACGATGGCCTGAGTGAGGGTGGGGACTGGAAACACCAGACAGGAACCTGCTATTGGACTCCTTCCATTTTGCTCTGCGGTAATTCGATCGTGTAATTGGAAGACTATTCCAGAGCAGATGGCTTCTTCCCCTCCCCCAAATCCCTGTTCACACTACAAAAGTCTTGAGCCAACTGCCACATAGAGAACTGCTTTGGAACAACAAACAGTTTCATTGTCACCTTAAAATTCAAACCCAGCTATCCAAGAGATGGAAAGCGCAAGTATTAACTTCTCTGCTCGGAGGCCACACAGAGTATGCAAACCCGCACTGGAGGTCCCTAAGCCATACGCCTGCTTATTAGCAGCGTGGTGGAATGATCTCTCTCACCCACTCTTTTTGGCAGAGAAATGAGTGGGCAGAGCAAATCAAGGCCTGGCACTGCAGGAAAACAAAGGATTCTTGCCACAAGACAGATGGCCACATCCTCGCTCTACAGAAATAGGCCTCTCCCAGTCTCCCCAGGACCTGACACCAGCAGGTCTCCCACTGAGTCCTGTGGAGGTTTGGAGGTATTAGCTGGATGTTAGTCATCATAAGCTAAATGCACCATGAGTCAAAGGAAGCATACTGTATTGTTACCAGGCTGGTCAGATTTGGCCAGATAATGCAACCCTGAGCTGGAGAATCTGAGTAGGCTTGGGGACACGACAGGACAGGACTCAGAGGGCACCTGTCTGTCCTGTCTGCTGTGGCCTCAGCAGGCTCCAGGTCCAGGTCTGGTGGAATTTGGGGTCACCTTTGAGGGGCTCTGAAACCTCTGCTGGGGATGAGGCACTGGCTGCTGATGGGTATCAAGGGCTCTGAAAAACTGGTTTTTATTGAGAGGCTCCCTGACAAGGAAGAAAAAGAATTAATACTTAATATGACGGGTCAAAGGCACAGGCTTTGGGTGAGGTGGACTTGGGTTTGAATCCAAGCTCTGTATTTATGAGCTGTGTGATTTAATTTGCTGGGCCTTAGTTTATCTGTATGATGAGATTAACTCACACTGTTTTCATAATTAAATGATGCCTTAACGCACTTACCATGGTTGTCTCTTCTCAAAGATTATTTCCATCCGCCTAACGATTACCGAGTCCTATTACAGCCAGAGTGCCAGGGTAAGTGCTTTGTAAGCTCTCATCTCACACTGCCAATAACCTGATGGGCAGACTGGCTACATGTGTGGGGCCCAGTGCAAAATGAAAACATGGAGCCTCTGTTAAATGTTAAGAGTTTCAAGATGGCAACATCAGAGCATTAAATCACGTGCAGAGCCCTGTGCAACTGCACAAGTCACACACCTGGGAAACCAGCTGTCCTCACAGTGAGGTACTATTTCATTCCTCTCCTGTATTTTGGTCCACCCACAGAAACTAGGGAACAGAGGCTTAGTAGTCAAAGAACAGCAGCATCTACTATGTTTCCTTCAACGTCTCTCAGAACTTTGGGACTGCATCAGCGTGGAGATTTTGTCTGTATCCCCCACCCACCCCCAGACACCAGGCACTAAATACACCTTTGATTACTATACCTCAGCAGTCCTACAAAATGTGTGTCACAGATGCAGTTTACCAATGAGGGAATTAAGGCCCAGAGAGGTTAAGATACCCAGCTCAAGACATCCAGAACCATGCGGATCCTGGAGCCTGAGGCTAATACCATGCCTACAACTGCCATCCTAACCCATACATTGGCCCTTTAATCTGCACACACAGTACCAAAAACAGGGGGCAACAAAAGGCCTGTGATCCTGCTTCGGGACCAAGCAAAGTCTGAAGCACAACATGTACCCATGAGGATCCAGTTAACCAAAGATTACAGATCCGCACACAGCTTGGCTACAAGGACGTTCTTAAAGTAGCCAGAAGAAACCATTTAATAATACAAGTAATTAAATAAACCAGCATAAAGCTGTACAAGCGAGTTCTGTATTACCCTTTACAATGATTCTGTAGAGACTATGTAATGACATGGGAAGAGCTGATGTATTTTTAACAAGTAAAAATATGTGAAAATGTGTAAAATATGTACAAATATGTGTCTGGAGTGTGTGAGCATATGTGAGCAATGTCATATATACACAGATCTATATATGACTCAGGTATATATAAATGAGTGTGTGTATAAATGTAGGTACAGGGCACACATATACGTTATTAACATACAGGATCCTAAGTACATTTCTTCACAAACCCAAGTGATCAAGAGGCATAAGTGTGGGAGTATGAGTGGCATGTGACGGTGCTTTAATGAAACACCCTAGGTCCTTTCTGCTGGTACACGTTTGCCTGCACAGCTGTACGGGAGGACTCGCAGAGGCGGAAGTCTGCAGGCCAGCTGGGAACTGCTCAGCAGCTCACTACCTGCAGGGGCCACCTCCCCTCTCCCTCTGAGGATGAGCAGGTCAAAGGGCTTTAAATTCTGTGTCGCCTGTGACATTTGTAGACCCTTCCCACATGGAGCCTTTTGGGGTCTCAACAAACAACTTGCTTTCTCCTTTTCTAACAGTAGGCTACTATACTTCATCCATTCCAAGATGACTTTATTAAATGTATCGTTATTTTATTATCTCTAAGAAAGGAAAAAACAAAACTACTAAATGATGTACAGTGCTTTCTTACCAATCCAAATTTTTGTTTTTGAGGGAGCTCCCTGAGACTTAGACAAATTGTTATCTATCACTACTGTGTATATTTAAGAAGGAATATGTAGTTTTCCAAACCGTTTCCACATTTAGAATCTAACAGGTCTCATGACTTTTCACTCTGAATCATTAATGTTCATATTTTCCACACAACAGTGGCCTGTGTTGCATGAGAGCACCGATGACGCAGCATTTCTGAAGTCGTCTGTGAGAGAAGAACAAGCCCAGAGCCAGGGGTGTGGAGCTCTTAAATCAGCTTTGCAGTGACGTAGAGCCAGCTTGCTTCTGACTCCCACCTCAGAAGTGGTGTTGAACCCGTCTGACTCACACCTTCCCAAACCCTCACACAACTAGTTGGACCCAAGGAGGCTTAAAGAGTGCTTTTCTGTTTGAGAAGCTTTCTTTCCAAGCTGCTGGCCACCCACTCTGTAAGTCAGTGCTACTCTTGAGATGTCTGCACATGGCCAAGAGATGAGACTCATGGCACACCTGCTACCAGGCTGACGGCAAAAATCACTTGTCAGATAATCCCAACTTCAGGTATGTTAGAAGGTGGGAGGAAAGTGCCTTGGCTCTCATGTGATATTCATCCCCTCCTGAGACTGGTTCACCTTTATATTTTGCTCTTCATGGTTATTGTCTTCTCTAGCTCATTCCCACAGCATACTTCCCATGCTGCATGATACACTTTTTGTCACAACTGCGCCCACTACAAAATTTATTTGTATTCCATGGGGAATATTCCATACTCCATCCAAAATATAGTATATTTTTACTTTGTTAAAAAATCGCCATCCATGTCCTAATTGTTGGCTTTCCCCTCACCAGCACTTTCAATACCACTATTGCTGTATTTGTCCGACCTGGTGGAGTTCCCGGTGTTGATGAAAACACAACTCAAGAACTAAGCATAAGCAGAACAAATAGATGGCCGATTAATGAAAAATGAGATGCTAAGATACAACAGGACACAAACCCATTAGCTTTCAGAGGAAAACACATTTCTGCTCTTTAGTGTATCTTTTTGCGTGATTCTCATGAAAGTTTGTTCACACGATCTTTCTTAGTTCATTTGGGTGATCACAGCGAAATACCACAGACCGGGGGGTTTAAACAACACAAACTTATTGCTCACAGTTCTGGAGGCTGAGTTGTCCAAGAATAAGATACCAGCCAATTTGCTGCCTGGTGAGGGCTCTATTTCTGGCTTGTAGACAGCTGCCTTCTTGCTGCGTTTCACCAAGTCTTTCCTCTTTGCTCTCATGGAGAGACAGATCAAGCAAGCTCTCTAGTATCTCTGTTTATCAGGACCCTAATCCTATAGGGCGGGTCTGGGCCCCACTCTTAGGACCTCACTTAACCTTAATTACTCCTATAAAGGCCCTATCTCCAAATACAGAACATCTGGCTGGGCACACAGCACAAATGTTCAAGTCCATATGGTCTTAAGTATACATATGTTTATATATGGACATCAAAATATAAAATGTTATCTGATGATTCCCTTTTTAACTTACCCCTATTTATGAACATTTCTACCACTGAATATGGATTATTAAAAAAAAAAGACAACTAAAAAATAATTATTTTCTGCAAACCCAGTTTTTAAACTAACTTTTAGAAAACTGTTGAGAGGAGCTCTTTGCCCCTTCTTATTCCAGTAATTTGAGGGAGAGCGAAAGTCACTGGGAAAGGCCAACCAGGCAGGGGCCTGGCTCCAGTGTGGGGGATGCTGACACCCGCTGCTCTTGACAGGCCAGTGCAGAGACATTCCCAATGACTTGGGAATCCAGGAACTTCTTTTCGGGCCTGCCCAGCTTTCCAGGACACAGTGGTGAGTGTTAATTCAAAAGCATCATTCAGGTCAGCATTCTGT